GGTCTTTTGTCTGGCCTTGCACTGCAGCCAAGTAGGAAACAGGTTTAGTTCCATATTTTGAGGCTCCAACTGTCTCCAGTTTTGGATCTTCAGTGGCCTTTTGGACTGCTTCAATTGTCTTTCTAGAAAGGTTCCCAGAAAAACTGCCAAAGATTGGCATATTGATATGATCTTTGGTGACTTCGACCATAGTTATCCCTGGACTTTTCACTTGACTTCTGGAAGCTTCGATCACATTCACCTCTGAAGGTTCAGCATAGTGGGCTTCCGCCTACAAAGGGCTCGAATCCACATTCACGGGGGCCTTATCAGCGAACTTTAGCCTCCCTTCTTCGATAGCATTCTGCACGAGATCCCTGAAAAGAAAACATTGAGATGTTTTATGGCCCAGAAAGTTATGATATTTACAATAGCCTCTTTTCTTTCTTTGATCAAGAGGAGGCACTTTTACCCCTGGGGGTATTATCATTTGGCCATCTTTTACAAGTAAATCAAAAATTTCATCACATTTCGTAATATCAAAACTGTAAGTCTTTTTAGGGAACCTATCACTGGCCTTTTCAGAACCAGTGGGGTTTTTTCCACTTGAGGGGACTAGTAGTTTGCAAGAGTATGGTGGCCCTTGTTTTAACTCAGCTAAATCGACCTCACTTTCTTTGACGGTTATAGGTTCGTCGAACGTTTCTGGATCTTTATCGTCCATTTCGACATACGCTATCCTTTCTCTTTTATGAGTTTTCGTCGCCCTGGCTTTTTCAGCTTTAAGGCGTTCTACCTGTAGAACCCTATCGGCCAATTGGGCCATGTCCCCTAGGTATTGAGTGTCTAATTTCTTCCTAATGGAGTAATCTAGACCTCCTGCGGCTATTTCGACTAACTCATGTTCTGGCACTTGCGTAAAGCATCTTGCCTTGAGCAATCTAAACCTATTTAGGTATTCGTCTATAGGCTCAGTGAATCTCTTCTTTACACTGGCCAACTCTTTCAGGCTTATCTTGGTTTGTCCAATGTAGAATTGCTCATGGAATAATCTCTCCAACTGGGTCCAATGGTGGATCGAATTGGGGGGGAGAGTTGTGAACCAAGTAAATGCATTCTTTGTTAGGGAACTTGGGAAATACTTAATCCTTAGGTTCTCATGGTTTGAAATTTCTCCCGCTTCGGTTAAATATCTTGCCACATGTTCGATAGTGGATTCTGTTGTGTCCCTTGAAAACTTAGTGAACTTAGGGACTTTGCATCTAGGAGGCAAGTCCGTTTGTAACACATATTCCGACATTGGGGATGTGAAGTTGGGCCTACGGAAGCCCGTATTCATCCCATTTTGCATCATGATTCTTTCAATCATGGCTGTCAAGTTATTCTCCAAACTAACATTCTGGTATTGGATCTGCTGAACTACTTCGTCAGCGTTTTGGTTTCTATTAACCATCCTTATTTCCGGGGCTATAAATCTTGGCTCTTCGACCCCGGGTTATTCCAGTTGTACCCTAAGGTTCTCTTTGATAGGCTGCTGGACTTGGTTAATAGTGGTTTCTTCCTCTAGAAGTATGCATTGGTTCCCCCTTATTTGTGCCCTTTGAGGTTGTCGAATAGGTTGGGGTACCCCAAAAAAGTAAGCCAGACGCGACATTGCGCTGTCATTTGCTGATTCGACTGGGTGGTATTCTGTATTAGAGGATTTAGCAATGTACTTAAAGTTTGCGCCAACATTTAAACCATGTCGTGGTTGCTTTCGTCCATTTGCTGCCTCAAGACTGCTGTCGAGGCATTCGTAAGGCCATGCATTACTTGGGACGTTCCTCCTAAGAGTTGGGTCCTACCCCTTTTCGCCATACCAACCCCAGATCCTTGGAGTGGCGAAGAGGCGCTCACTAAAGGATCTGAAAAAGTGGACGTAGCATTCGTCAGGCTAGCCAATTCAGAAGTTGGCATTCCATAGAGTGGTTCTCGATTTAAACCGACTGTCGAAAAACCTGGGGGAACATATGGCCTAGTTCCTTGGTTTCCCCTTGGTGGGGGAGTTCCCAAAGGCATTCTGGGGCCTGTAAATGGAGGTAATGGCCCCGTTTGTGTAACCGTTACTGCTGGTGTTGAACCAGCAGTTACCACTTCACTTACGGTTGGGATAACCGTTGCTCCTACGTTTGTCTGTGGGATTTCTCCGTTGTTTGGCGGATTCGCCATTTCTTCACTTCTTCTCCTAGTATTGGTTTCGTTGGTGTATATTCTACCACTTCTCAATAACATGCAATACTCTCGAAAAAGGAGGATATTTTATATAAAATGGTTAATCGTGAGAAAATCAACACAAAGTCCCATCAGGTGTGCCAATTTGTTTACCGTGAAAAATGGTAAACAACCGATGATCTTCCAAAAGGTTACTTATTTGGTGACTCGCAGGATTGATCAGATTGATCCTAAGACATGGTTGATTTTTGTAGTTCGACTAATCCTAATGGTGATTAATGCCAGTAAAGTAAAGACACTTTAAGTAAATTGCATGGAGAAAAGCTTGATAGAATAAATAAAAGCGTTAAGGAATTGTTAAATAAAAGGCTTCGACGGAGGTAAATAAATGAACAACGATAAATTGCTTGAATATAAAAGATTTTGATTAATTTAAATGGTGTTTTACACATACATTCTCAATGATTCTTTCTCTCACGCTGGGTACTTGAATCTAAATGAGTGACTTGTATAAAATGATGAACACACCCTAATAACTACATAAAAACTTAGTATTTATACTAAGAAAAATCCTAAGTAACCGCTGGGCAGTTACACCGCTTCGAGATGACGCCACATGGCACGCTCACAACCTTCGACGCCTATGTTCTCGACACGTTGCACTTGGTAACTGTTGGGAACCGTTTTCCCTCCAACAATTCAAATCTCAAACCGTTCGACCTTGGGCATCAGGGACCCTTGTCGAGAGGTTCCTTCGACGTCGAAGACAACAAAATTCTAACTTAAAGGAATTTCTCTAAGTATCTTGTCATTCTTTGATGAGCCTTCGACATGATCAGTTAGTTGAAGCCTTCTTATGTAGGAAACTCTTCTGACTCATAATTAATGGTCTATATGATAATAAACATGGGTGTCAAATTTAGGAGCCAACATATACATTCTCAAAACAATACGGGAATCATTGTAAAATGACCTTACATTGGCATTTTCAAACACTTTTCCAAACATTCTCCTTCAACAAATATTTTCAAAATCAACACTTTGTATACATTCTCAAACAATACGAGAATCATTGCAAAGTTTTCCGAACATAGGCGTTTTCAAAATATTTTCAAACTTACACAAACACAAAGCATTTTAAAGTGATCAAGCAATTAAGAGTCCGTAGATAACTACGGATGACAAGGGTGCTAATATCTTTCCTTTTCATAATCTACCACCTGAACTCAAGAAAGTTCTCAAAAGGTCTTTCTTGTTATTTTCACTCTTTCGTTTATTGGATAAAAGTAAAATTGGTGGCGACTCTTGCTATCCGCAACATTTACGATAAAACACAAAAAAAAACCAAGTCGGTTCTCTCACCGGATCACAGTGGCGCATGAGGTTGTTTGTATGGGAGGAAGAGTTGGTTGGAGAATGTATTAGGTTGTTGGATTCTTTTGTGTTGCATGACTCAATTAAGGATACTTAGGTGTGGAAACTTCATCTTCAAAGCGGTACAACGTGAGATGTGCTTATCATTTTTGACGAACTCGGTAGATCTTCTTTATTCTAGAGATTCGCATGCTTGGTGATCTAAAACGGTGCCACTAAAGGTTGATATTTTTCTTTGGCAGTTATATCGTAATAAACTACCGGCGAATGATAATTTGGTTAGGCGACATGTTATTAATATAGAGGAGAAGAATTGTATAGTAGAGTGTGGTCGGTATGAGGATATGGATTATATTTTTGTTCGGTGTGGCTTTTATTGTAACATTTGGTTGGTGATTTCTAGTTGGTTAGACTTTTCGTCTGTTTCTCATGACCATCTTTGAGAGCAACACGAACACTTTGTTGCTTTGGTTGGGTGGTCGAAATCAGGACGTAAAGCCTTTCACATCATTTGAATATCAGTTGTTTGGTGCATTTAGAAACTGTGGAATCAACGGATTTTTTAAAACATTATTCAATCGTGTAGTTTTATTTGTGAAAAGATTAAGATTCACTCTTTCTAATAATTGAAATGTCATTATCTTTAGTTCATGTCATTATCTTTAGTTCATTTTTGATTATCTGAATTGGAGGTTAAATCTCATGCAGTGTATTGTAATTACTGTCTTATAGTTTTGTTTTTGTTTTCAGTGTTGCTTTCGGCCCTACTGGGGTTGTACTCCACTATTGTATATCTTCTAATACTCCTTGTGCCTAAAGACATTTTGGCTTTTAGCTTCTTTAAAAAAATATTTTAAATTTTAAAAACACTAAATCAAACATATCCTGAATATTTCATTAATTGATTTGGCCTTAGATTAAAACTAGAAACTTTCACCTTGTTGCCCATATATCTTACCCACACCACAAGCTCTTTCGTTATCAATAGTACTCCATAATAATGGGGCAAGAAACATGATATTTGAATATTTATTTATACATAATAATCCATACATACATTGCAAGGAAACTAGAGAATGTTATTATTGATAAGATGCAAATACTTAACTTTTATCTCTTGTATACTGAGCTTGTGGGAGGAGCTTCCTTCCCTGGTGGTGTCTACGTGGGAAAACACAACGTCTCAGAGACACTAACTTGCGTGCAAAGCTAACTATCCAATTTTTGTGGTCATAATAACTGCCAACTGGATTTCCTCTCTTTCCCCCTAAGCTACAACCACACAACACGTATACACCGACTTCTCTCTCTCTCTCTCTCGCTCTATATGTATATTGTTGAGACAATTCCTTCTTCCAGTTTTAATATCAAACTTCAAGTCTAAGCATATAGAATTCTTTACAACTATTTTCTGTCTTGGATCAATATTTTTCAACATGACATGTACTAGGTGGTTTTGTTCTCTTCGAAGTTCAGGTTATTCATTCTCTCTACATCTAATTCTCAGTTTCCTTCTAATTTAATTACTTCATTACCATTTAATTCAAATTAAATAATTAAACAGGTAGATCACTGAGAGAATGCGATGAGGAAGAAAACTTGTGTAGGAAGCCAAACGTAAATGAAGAATATCTCCAAACATTTAGAACAAAGTCTTTCATTGAAATATGCAACAAAGCACAAGTGCAGTTTGGGAACACAAGAAGCCTCTCTTCATCTTGTTCAACATCTTCTCCTCCTCCTATACGCATTAATCTCACCGACTCTTTGCTCGAACCCCGACAAGAAATCATTACAAACATGACACGTAATGTTAAGGTTCATCAACTTCTAGTTGAGTATTTCGAAGCTAGCTTAGAAGCATGTCTTTGTTGTGACACAATCCTTCAAGGAATCCACTCAACAAGACTTTCTTATACAAGAATCACACGAGCTGTTAATAATTTCAATGATAGCACCAATGAACAAACAAACACTACACCAAAATATCACAAATATCTTGCTTCATTTTCATCAAAATTACAAAACAACCCTTTGTCTGCTATTACTAGTACTACAATGCAGTTTCATGATCTTCATGATAAGTACATTGAACTTCTTCGTAAGCTAACATCAAAGAGAAAGAAAATCAAAAGAAGATTAACATTGATTAGTGCTTGCAAGAAAGTTGGAGGAATTGCTCTAGTTACTTCACATGGTGCTATTCTTATTGCTTTATTGATTGTTTCTTTGCATAGTGTTGTTGGATTAGTTGCTGCACCAAGTATTGTTGGAGGTTTAGTTGGTTTGTTCATAAAGAGAATCAAATTTAGGATTAGAAGAAGCTCTAGTTATGAAAGACTATGTGAACAACTTGATGCTGCTGCGAAAGGAGTATTTATAATGATCAATGATTTGGATACTATGAGTAGGATGGTGAAGAGGCTGAGTGATGAAGTGGAATATAGGAAAATGGTTGCTGATGTTTGTGTGAAGAATGTTGGTAGTAAATGTGAAATACTGAAGCAGGTTATAAATGAGTTTAGTGATTATGAGAATAGGTTTTTGGAGCAATTGGAAGAACTTGAAGAACATGTTTACTTATGCTTTCTCACGGTAAACAAATCCAGAAGTCTTGTTATGCAACAAATTATATAGATAAATAAAAGTTGTGATTTTGATTTGTTTTAAAATCGTTGTTGTTTAATTCTTTTATTTCTTGTATATCCTACAACATCAATTTGAATTCTTTGTCATACTAGATTCTAGTGATTGTTGAGATTAATTCAAGCTACTACTATATTAGAGTTTAGTAGTTAGTTGGTTATGAATAACTAACTTAGCCCCCGTTAGTTATAATAAATTTGCAACTTTAAAAACTTTGTAAAAAATAGTTATTATGTGTGCGATTAACCAGCTGATTGTTATATAGCTCTTTTGTATCAATTACACAGTTACTTAATTCTCCTTCACTTAATATATATATATTTTATTCATTTCTATATTTTTCTTTCTCAATCCCTTCTCCCTCAAACGACCGTCCCCAACAAATTGATATAAAGAGTAAGAACGATCATAGCAATTCAAGTGATTGCAAGTGAGAAGAATCATGGTTATGAGTTTTTGATGGAAAGAATTGGGATAAATGCTTGACTCAAATGAAGATCATTTTGGAGTACAAAATATTGTGATATGGTGGAAAAAGGTTTGGAAGTCTTGCCTGAAGATACAAGTCTAGCGCAAAACACTACGCCATATAAGAGAATAGACAGCGTGTTTTTGATCATAGACAGTTGTGACACGGTGGGAGAACTGACTTGGGTTTTGCGTTTGTTTTCGCAAATGTTTCGGTTGAGCAAGAGTCGCCACCGACTTTTTATTTTATCCTAAGGAAAGGTTAAAAAGCACAGCAAAAACCTTTGAGATGTTTTCTTGGGTTCGGGGAGTAGATTATAGAAAGGGAAGGTATTAGCACCCTTTCTATCCATGGTTATCCATGGGCTCTTAGTTACTTTCTTAGATCAACTTGCCTTGATTTTCAATTGTTTGAAATGGTGTTTTGTGTGTGGGTTTTGAAAATGTCTTGAAAAGAGGCCAATGTGGTGGCAACCCTTGTAATGATCCATGTTCGGATGTATACAAAGGTGTATGTCTTTTGAAAAGGTTTTCAATGTTTTTTTGGAAATTGTTTTGAAAATGTGTTGTGGAGTGTGGTTTTGAAAAATAGGCAAGGGTTTTTGTTTTTGCAAGTTGACAAGTAACCAAGAGCTATCTACCCTAAATTTCTCAAAGATCTTTGCTATGTTTTAACCCTTTTAACAATTTTGTTCCACCATTGTATTTGGTGGACAATCTTGTGTTAGGATGTTAACGGGACGGGTGCGGGTCATCGTTTAGACTATGATTGCAATGGTGCCAAATGTCTTTGGGCAATTTTTCCTTTAAGGGACTTGATCATTTTTAGGAAACTTTCGAAAGCGTCATCGAGGGACTACGATCATTTGATTGTTTTGTTTTTGCCAAAGATACCTAACATGCAATATGGCCCATTATTTGAAGGCAACAAGTGGAGTAACCCTAAGGGTGCAAGTGTGATTAGTGTTGTCCATTTTTATGCTTGTTTATCTTGAAATTAGGTCAAACTATTTTTTGTTAATCTTGCATACAAAACCCTAATTCTAACATGGCATAATTAGAAAAGTTTTAAATGCGAAAAATAAAAGGTCCTAAGTTATTACAACACAATATATGGGATGGGGGGTACAAATGTTCAAATGGGGATATTTTAGCAAGAAATTAAACCTAAACTATTACATCCAAATTGAATTATACAAATTATTTAATATACCACAATTAAATAAAAAATAAAAAAATAATAAATGTGCAAGATGCAAAAAATGGTTTTTTTTTATGTATGAAAAGAAAGTATTTTTTTATGTGTCAAATAAACAAAAATAAAATTAATTAATTTTTGGTATTTTTATGTATTTAGGGTAAAACCCTAATTTTATGAATAAAAGGTATTTATTATGTAATATTTATTAATTATGTACAAAAATAAATAAAAGAAGGTATATTGTAAAAAAAGTATTTTGAGGTCAAAATATTAATAAAAATAAAATGTATTAATTCTTTGCATTTTTTCCTAAATATACTAATAAATATATAAGTATTTTACATTATTTATTAAATATATATTATATGTACAAAAATAAATATTTAATATTATTAAAAAAGTATATTTTTATTATAAAATGTTTTCAAGAGATAACATAAAATAAAAATCAGAAATAAAATATGTTTGTATTATTTTTTAGTTATTTTAAATAATAGTATATTTATGTTTATTTATATATAAAACTAAATAAAGCCAAATAAATATCAAATAAAATGCAAAAAATGTGGGAAAAATAAATTTAATATTTTTTCATGCTTAAATAAAAATATGGAAATAAAATCAAAAGGAAAAAATGGAAAATGACAAGTAAAACTCAAAATGGGCCAAGGGGTGCATGTGAAATGCAGTGGTGTGAAAAGGAAAAACAAATCTCAGGCCCAGCCCAAGACTCTGTCTTCTTCAACCTCCATCATCTTTGTACAAAACACGCACTTCTGCTATCTCAAGATTCTTGGACTTTTAGCACAAACTCACAACATGAAAAATGTTAAGCATCAAGCCACGATTCCATACATATAAAAAACTTAACCTAACTCTCAGAAATGAGAGAGAATTTCTCCATCCCTAATTCTTAACCTAAGTTTTTGTCAATGTTCAGGTTCAAAATACTCTCAGCATATGCAATATAAATGGAAAGTAAAGATATATATAGCTTCAGGGGCATGAATAGAACATTTTTCATTCACAAACTTAGAGCTAACTCTTCCTATACTGAGAGATAGAAGTCCGTGAACTTACCTATTCAACTGGGATCGTGTCTGACAATGGAGGCACTTTCAAGGCAAAATGAGGATTGGTACAACTTGCTTGAAGTTCAGGGATGCTATTCCAACCTTTAACTTGCTTTGAAACCAACTGGATCAAGCTATGGCAATCAACCTGCAAAACAGAAAAAATGAAAATGGTGATGTTGGTTAGAGATGTTAAAGGTCGTGTCCAATGCTTGGGATAGCTTGTATAAGTGGTATGGAATGTGTATGAACTGGATTTAGCAAGAATGCACGAATGGATTGGCTTATGGAAGTCCAACTGCAGAGGTTACTCTGTTTTCTGCAGTAGGAGGGTGTTTTGAGGGTTGATGATGTTTGGAAGGTCTTTTGCTCGTGCCTTAGCTCTGTTATATTATTTGGAAAGTGTATAACAACTTTGCTTAAGCTTGTGTTGGCTGAAATGAGAGTTGATGTAAGTTATGCCAAGTTACTTCTCACTTAAGCAAGAAATGGCAAGTTGGTTCTCTAGCCTTGTACAGGCCCCCCAAATGTGCTGCAACTATCCCTCTTGATCAGTGTGACATGCTTCTGAACTTGTGTCTAAAGATGTGGCCTTGTACTTCTTGATTTTCAAACTTGACATAAAGTTCTACTTTACAAAAATGGATAAATCACTTTTTCTAATTATAGCTCAATCTTGCATGTAATGCTTAAACACATAAGATAAGACTTAAACATGAAGTATTGACATTAAATTTATGAGTGTGAATGAGATAAAGGACCTGTAATCTAGCTTAGAACATGCTGAGTTCAAAAATGCAAAGTTATGAACATGTAACTTGGCCATGAACAAAGTGAGTTTTGCCCATATTGCCAAATTCGATTCTCCCTAACCATAAGGTTGTTTGATGAGTTCTTAGACATTTTGGAAAGCTTGGAATGTGTACTACAATCAATATTTGTAATGCAAATTGAAATTACAAGTGGAAGCATGTGAAAAGTAGCCATGAAGTTAGGCAAAAATCCTGCCTAAAGTAGGTCAAAATTTTTCTAAGTTAAGAATATTTTGCACCCTTGTTCCAAAAATCATAACTTGAGCTACAAGCTTCTTTTGAGAAAACTTTGTGAATCAAAGTTGTAGATTTTGCAATGGACTACAACTTTCATGTTTTGACTTTTGTTTGAATCCAAATTCATCTTGATGAAAAAATTGGGACAAAGTTAGGAAAAAATTAGGGATTTTCATAACTTAGAAAAATTCTAAGTTATGAAAATTCTTCATTTTAAACCCTAATTTGCAATTATTGATTTATTGATGAACAAGTTTCAAAATTTGGCATGTTTTGATGAAAAATGAATCTTGACACTTGATTTTGACCAAAAAGTCAAAGTTTGACTTTTCAGTGTACAGTCAAAAATTAATCAATTGACTGGAAAATTCATCTGTCAACCTTGTGCATTTGGGATATTTTGAACTTTTTGAACATGTCAAGACAATTCCATGGGGTCCTTGAGTCCATATATGAGCTTGGTTTGCCATTGGTTAGGTCAAACAGTCAAAAATTGCCTTTGTGCAGTCAAAACCCTAAAAATGACCATTTTGCCCTTTTGGTGATCTGATCAAATTTCTTGTGGAATTGTGATCCAAACTTGACCAAATGGTTCAAATGAGTTCATAATGTTGATGTGGGTCAAAAATCATGAGGTTTGACTGTCAATTGACCACAGTTGACTTTTTCCCCAATACAGCTGATTTTTAGGTCAACTGTTCAATTGACTGGGCAAAGATTGGAATCAAGGCTTGAAATTTGGTATGGGTAAACTTGGGAGTCCAACATGAAGCATGAAATTCATCTTAGGCATTTTAGGTCAAAACATATTTGTGCAAACACAAACTCTAATTTGGGTCAACAGTGCAAGGAGGAGTCTTGAGCAGAGGAAACCCTAACTGGATCTTGAGCTCTAAGGGTATTGTGATGAGAAAATGTTGAGGAAATGGGAGGGCAAATTTTGGGGTACAACAACAGCGCTTATAAGCGTCGCCTATTCCTGCGTTGCTGTAACCATAGACAACGCTTTTTGTCTATGTGAAAACGCTGCTTAATGTAGACTTTAAACATCGCTTTTTTGAATAAACACTTTCTAAAGGATCCTATAGGCAACGCTTTTTACATTAGAAGCACTTTCTATAGTGTGTCTATCGCAACGCTTTAGAAAGCGATGTGTAATGTATTTTTTTCTCCATTTTTTTATGTTTTAGGCAGCGCTTT